AATCCACTGTGCCTCTCAGATGTGCTGTAATAAGGTGCAGTACAATTTACAGTTTACACATTTATGAACCCAGAGGAAATGCTCCAGCATATGGCATGTACAATTGTTACCTTGTACATTTAATTTTTTCTCTAACATTGGCTAGAAAAAAATTTACTTTTGCTTTATTTGGCAATGTCAGGACCTGTTCCTTACTAGTATTTCAGAATTTTTAAATCTCGTGGTTTTAAAGTTAAAAAAGAATTATATAGGTCACCTAGTTTATCTCCTCCCGTTTCCCCTGGAAACATGAAGTCTATATATTTGGGCAATGTGAAAATCTCTTCTTTAATAAGAAGATCTGCAAAAATATTTTCTGTCAGAATGCACATCCGACATGTAATAAATTTCCAAGGATAACATTGCTTATTTTTGTCAAACACTAAAATACTATCCTTTGACCTCTTGCATTCATTAAGTTAGCCAAAAGTTTTCATATTATTAAGGATATTCTAATGAATTTTTAGAGCAGTTCCACACAAGGAACTAACAGTATATATAAGAATGATTGGCCAGGCATGGTGGCTTACACCTGTAATCCCAGCACTTTGGGAGGCCAAGGTGGGCAGATCATGAGGTCAGGAGATCCAGACCATCCTGGCTAACACAGTGAAACCCCATCTACATTAAAAATACAAAAAATTAGCCAGGCATGGTGGCATGTGCCTGTATTCCCAGCTACTCGGGAAGCTGAGGCAGGAGAATCTCTTGAAGCTGGGAGGCGGAGGCTGCAGTGAACCGAGATCGCACCACTGCACTCCAGCCTGGGTGACAGAGCAACACTCCACCTCAAAAAAAAAAAAAGAATGACTGAAGTCTAAGAGAGGACCTGACAGCATGGTAAGAAAAAAGTGTCCACTAAGCCTTGAGATAAGGGATAGTTTTTTGGATTTAATTTATGTAAACTAAATGATGTAAAATCATTGTGAAGTGTAAGGAACTTATGTGTAAAAAACAGGATGAGAATTAGATACCAAAGAGCATTTGAAGTATTGCAGAGCTTGGAGACCAACTAGAGCGTATCTGTATAGCAGTGCTAAGAGGAAAGACTCCAGCTAGAAACGTGGAGTTGTGCTCACATGAAAGACACATTCTTGGCCAGGCACAGTGGCTCATGCCTGTAATCCTAGCACTTGGGGAGGCCAAGGCAGGTGGATTGCCTGAGCTCAGGAGTTCAAAACCAGCCTGGGCAACATGGCGAAATCCCGTCTCCACTAAAAATACAAAAAAAAATTAGCCAGGCATGGTGGTGCCTGTAGTCCCAGCTGCTTGGGAGGCTGAGGAAGTAGAATCGCTTGAACTTAGGAGGCAGAGGTTGCAATGGGCCAAGATCGCACCACTGCACTCCAGCCTGGGCAACAGAGCAAGACTCCATCTCCAAACAAAAGGTATATTCTTACAGTGCTTCTGGGAGAGTGAAGCAGGGATAAGTCAATATAATAAACACAAACTAACCAACATGATCACTTCAGTCCCTTTGTCATGGTTTGGTGTTCAGATATGCTACAAGTCAGTTCTTAAAGGATTTATGGAGAGTGGAATGCCTGTATAAGAAAATCTTTTCAAGTATAAAACATCAACAATTTGATGTATTTGCATTTTGTCACAAACTAGCCTCTTTTGTTTATAAACAACAAAAACTAGCTTTCCTTTTCCTGTGATCTGACTGTCTTCTGTGATCTCTGGCTTTGTCTGTGGGATTGAGTTGTCTACTCAACCCAAAGGGAGACATCCTGGCTCCTCAGGGGAGTGGTTCACGAATGACAGTCCTCCAAGCCCTACAGATAATTTATGTAAAAACAAAGTCCCCATGTATACACAAACCAAGAAATGAAAACAAGAGACATAGGTTTAGGAGGCATACAGATTTATCTTAAGGCTCTTGAATTCTTCTACAGAAAAATACTATGGAAACCAGTCATTCACTGCAGTCCAAACCTGCCATAAAAGTGATAGCAAACAATGTATGGTGACACGAAATTAAGGGACACGGTTTGTCATTTGGGCAATTATTGGTATAGAAGCTCAAAGGAAAAGGACAATTGCTCTGAAAGTGATGAAATGACAAAAATTTATTGAGTACCACATATGCCAAAGTTATTCTCAGCATCTTAAGTGCATCATTTCATTTAATCTCACAATGGCTTGATGAGATGAGCACTGTTAATTATCTATTCCTACAGGAGAAAACTGAAGCTCAAATAATTTAAATGGCCTAGGGTACAAGTAAGAAAATGGTAGAATCAAAGTCAACACAAGGCACTGTGATCAAGCAAAAAGGCTTCTCTGTTCCATCTTGAACTAGGACTTCTAGCCTGGATGATCACAGGTCACTCATAGCACTGCTGTCTCATCCTGACCAAGCCTGGGCTGGTGTAGAAAGTGTGCTAAAATACTGTGGCCTGTAATGTTTGAAACTCTAACAAATGTTCTGTTATGTTAAACTTTAGATTTTAGTTAGCTGCTTTTTCAAATTAAAAAATACTATTTAAAATAATTAGCATGATTTCTTTTCAAGATGAATGTTTGGTCTTCTGCAGGAAATAATGAAGCAAAATATTTTACATTACTTACAAAGTTAAAATCCACAGAATACAGAATAAGTAACTGCAAATCTCAGCTCACTGGAGACTTCAGTCAAAGACAGTGCAAGAGAAGTCAAACAATTGACCACAAAGTCACACGGCCTGATGATTTTATAGCTAGCGTCAGACACATCAGAGACTGCGGTCTTTGCACTTCCATCTTCTTGCTATGAATGTAGTCACTGATTTAGTAAAAATGTAGAATTGTTCATTCTGTGTCAAACTCAATGGCAAACATTTTATCTTCTTACATTTGTGCCGTGTGACATTTTTGACTAATCCATGTCAGTAAGTAAGACTGTATCAAGTCTTTCAGGTTATTAGGAGGCAAATGGCCTTCAATAAGCTACAATGTACATTTTTCAGAAGAAAATAGTCACCAGCCAACTCTCTCTTGAATTATGCAGTATGGTCTTTTCACCTCTATTTATGCACAGGTTGGATATTCAAAATTTTGGCTTCATTTGGAGAAGACAACAAAAGATCAGGCTTTTATTATTAAAAAGAATGATTCTGCCTTTAAAGATCCAACAAAATGGAACAAGGAACAAGTAAGAAGGAGCAGCAGAACAAAAGACAGTTTTCGTGTTTTACCTTTCAAGCTGGCCACTAGTGCCAAACCTAAACACACTTAGGACATTTCTAATCCTTGGAGTCATTACCCTTAAAAAACAAAACAAACCTCAGCTACTCAACCAGTAGCATACATTTTAAATTATTGTTTGCCTTTTTGCTGTGTATTTTAATGATAGAAACAGCTATATAAAAAGAATAACTTACTTTTCAGTTCAATATAAAAGCCATCACTGAGATAGAAAATCCTTGCAGCCACCACCAGTTTCTTGCTTTTGACCACTGGTTAGCATTACCGTATTTCAGGAACAAGATCCCTTGTAATTAAATATGGTATTTATAACATACGATACAAATTACGCTAGTGAAGGTATCCAGTTTCATCAACATAATTCTAGCATCATATTATGTTTAATAAATGTCACATACTGCAGGTTAATATTTTTATGTGATTGGTGAGGAAAAATTTTAGTTATAACTCTTTTCTTTGAATTAATTTCAATATCAATCATTTTTATTCTTTATTCATTAAAATACTTTCATATATGTAAACACAGATAATGAATCTAATAAGTATCTATTTTGACCTTCTTGACTTTTTTCTATTGTTAGTTTTGTAAAGATTTCCTTTGTCTCTTGTTTTTGAATATTGACCTAAACAAATAAACGTGTGCAACTTTGTAAGTCAACATTTTACAATATATTCAAAACACAATTTCTTCTTGCACTTTACTACAAATAACACAATGGAAAGGCTTAGAGAGCTGTATGACATTTTTACTATACCCAGGGCTCTACTCTGAGATAGTTTGCTTGTCACTATTTCCTAAAAGTAAAGTGAAATGTTTGTATAATCGGAGGATTTAGATATCAGAGTTTCAGTGTTTGGGCATACTGAGAGAAGCTTGAATCTCTCTTTTTCTCTTGCGCTTCCTTCCCTACACATACACACACACACACACACACATGCACATACATATGCACACACTACCCAACAGTTGACTCTCTTCTCGTAATTATACGATTTATGCCGAATCTGTTTTCAAAAGTGCTTTGTTTTCAAAAGTGTTTTGCAAATGGCGATGCATTATTGGAAAATTAATATTATAATTATAAGAGTTAGCATTAAATTTTTTAAGTACGAAAATTTATTTTTTATTTAACCTTTTGGAATAAAGTTGTTATATAAACCAAGGCACATTTGTGTTATACTAGTCATTTTTGCACGTTACTTTTTATTTTTGCCATTTTAAAATATTTTTACCTCTTATGTTTTCATTTTACATCCATTGGCTTTTAGATATTCCATTTCGGACTCATTTCTTTGATCTAAAAAAAAAGGTAGCCGAACAGTTGGGCTAAAGCATGAAGCAGCCATCATCCAGAAACTAAATGTTCCAATTACACTCTGTCTCCCTCTCTGATTAACTGATAGATGAGGGTCCAGTCAGAGACGTCACACTAACACAATTTCCCAAACCAGTCGATCCAGCAGACGTGAGTTAGACACAGAGAAGCGAACCCAAGTTTGGCCTTCCAATCTCAACTACGTGGTTATGGAACAGAGGAAATGCTGGTCCTTCTTTTTGAGTCATTTTTATTCATTTTACCAGAGAACATATTTTAACAAGTAGAATAGTATTTTTTTTTTTTTTTTTGGAGAACTGACAATTGGAATCTTGTTTTTTCAGATTCAAGTGATGTATTACGTGGATTATTCAGGTTGCTGAGCTTCAAAGCACAGCCCAAGACTTGAGATTCTCATGCAATTACAAGATTAAAGTGAGATAAACTGGCACTCACAGTTGTGGCAGGTGGCCCCACTGTATCCTGTCTCATCACAAGTGCATCTGAAGCTGTCCCATGTTTGTGAGCACTTCCCACCATGCTCGCAGTGATTGGGCACACATCTGTCAGAGAGAGAGACAAACAGAAATAAACCAACAAACAAATGAGATTTATGAGTGGCCAGATTCCAAGCTGTCTGGGCAATATATCATTTCAATGCCAGGTTGCCTTACCAAGGCAATTAATCCTTGTTAGTTTAAGCAGATTAATATGATTCATGATGGAAGGTGCCAAGCGCAACAAAGATGATGTATCACAGGCCTGGTGCTTCCCATTTTTTGAGTAAACAGTAGATACTAACAAACAACTGAGGGATTTACTTGAATATCACAGATTCATTTCATTTTTCTTTTACCCCAAAACAAAGACAGCAGCTAAATTCCCTCCTGGTGAAAGATCGAAGAAAAGTTGTCTTATTTCTTGTTTTATTCTATTCTTTATCAAGCCAAATACTGACTTAAAGAGGGGTATCGCCAAGTTTTTCATAGCAATTTGAGTTTTTGAAATAATGTCATGATAACAGCAATGAAAATATACTAACCTAGAAAGAAAAGACTTCTAAAACTTCCAAACACCTATTTCCCACTGGATAACTAAAGCAGCCTGCTTAAAGATGCAGCAAGCATAATACAGAGGAAAAAAATACAGGTTTTCTCTTCAAATCTTCACATCTGTATCTTTTTATTAAGATGACTAATGGTAACTACGTAACTTAATCTTTCCGAACCTTAGTTTTCACCTTTGAAAAATAGGATAATTCTATCTTACAAGTAATTTTAAGGTTTGGAGATCATGTTCATGAAGTATTAATAGACAATTAATAGGCAGGAAATAGTGGGCCAATAAATGGAAGCTGTAGGTATCTGAAACACAGCCTCCAGGGCACAGCTGGACTGTACCTCAGAAACTGAGAGGCTGAAATTTGTCCTGAAACCTCCCTGTTTCAATGGCACAGACCCTTTCCTTTCTCCTGGTTCCATCCATCTGCTCATCCCTCCCATCAATTCCCCTCTCCATCTACCCCACAACCTGATTTTTGTTATAATCCTGCTGAAGATGCTCCCAGATAACAAAGGTATTCATTATGATGTACCAGTATTCACAAAGGACATCTAGACTTTCACAGGGAACTGTCAAAAACAGGAAAACTTTCCCAGATTAAAATAGCAGAATCTATAATCATGGGTCACAGGAAAAGGACAGATAAACAGCCACCCAGCAAGCAACCCCTTTATCATAATGCCCTAGCAGTTCCCTGCTACAAAATCCGATAGAGCTGGCCTCAGAAATAGCATTCTCCAACTCCTGTTCTCAACTGACCACTAGCCATGCCTAAAACCACCTGTAGCAGGGCTTGGCTCCATTTGGCATGGAGCCCCTGGCTCTGAGAAGCTGTACTGTTCTTCCACAACTTCTTACAAACTTTTACTCCTGCAACAAACATGGATTGAGCACTTGTTGTATGCACAGAACTATGGAAAATAGAAGATGACTAAGACTGCACTCACAGCCTTGCAGAAGAGCTCATAGTTCATATAGAAGTAGATACAGGATGTATGAAAACTACAGTGTGAGGAAGAAATGAAAAACAGCATAATTCAGGGACAAATAAAGTACTATGGGATTTCACATGAGGAATCACATGTACATTTTGGGCACAATTGAAAGCTTTTAGGTTGAGACTCAATAAATGGACAGGACTATAAGAGAAGAAAATGAGAGGAAGAACTTTGGGGAAAAACACAATATAAACAAAAGCATCTTGTTGAATTATCATGAGGGATGGAAAATTCACCCTAAATTTAATAGGCACTTACTTTTTATAAAATTTGGGCTCAGTGTTATCAAGGCTACAAAGATGTTTCATCTCCAAATTTGAGTGGAGGTGGGTGGGGATCTGATTCATGAAAAACGCAAACCCAGAAGAATTTGATGAGTCATAAAAGGTATATGAAATGCTATAGAAATTTGGATACTAGAGGAGTTACAGGTGGATGATGAACAAAGGGCTTCATAAAGTTCAAAACATTTCACCTGGGCCTGAAGAGTTGTATGTTTATGATTAAAATGTTGAAAATTATTCCTAGCAGAAGAGGTGAGAAAAGCACTGATAAGGAGGTGGAAGAGTGAAAGTAGTGGGCAGTCCAGGGTTGTGAGGGTCCTTTCCTATAGCCACTATTCTGTACGGGCCCTGATGCGTGGGGACACACACAGCAGAAGGTGTTTACATCCAGAGCAGGTGGTTCTCCACATCATGGAAGGAAGCAATGGGCCAGACACTTCAAAATTACATGAAACTAAAACATCCTTGATACTTAATTTTGGAATTCAGTACATATATGGTGTTGTATGGTATATTTACTTTCTAAATTATTGTGGGTTAATATTAGCTCAGCCTAATATTGAAAGTAATTTACATCAGCTCATTATATCAATTAATTCGGGGGAAGTAGTGCAGAAGTGTACTGAGCAGCAAAGGAAAACCAGGCTGGAAACTAAATGTGGTGTAAATAATGGGCAAAGTAGAAAATCATCTTGATGATAGAAAAGATTACTGTGTTCTTACACGCATGCAAAAAGCATATATCCATCAAGTGAGATGAATGAACACAAGTCATCCCTCTGTATCTGCGGGGGGATTGGGGGATTGTTCCATACCCCCACCCGCCAACCCCGTAGATACCCGAATCCACACATTTTCAAGTCCCTGTTATAAAATGGTGTAGTATTTGCATATAACCTATGCACAGCCTTCCATATAATTTAAATCATCTTTAGATTACTTAGACTTATCATTGTGTTGTTATTTTTTATTTTATTTTTCTATCTGCCATTGGTTGGATCCACAGATGGATTTACAAATATAGAGGTCCAACTTTTAATATTTTTCTTCTTTGAATATTATTTTTATTATTTATTAATTTTCTTATTTATTTTTGAGACGGAGTCTTGCTCTGTCACCCAGGCTGGAGTGCAGTGGCACCATCTTGGCTCACTGCAACCTCTGCCTCCCGGGCTCAAATGATTCTCCTGCCTCAGCCTCCCAAGTAGCTGGGATTACAGGCGTGTACCATGACACCTGGCTAATTTTTGTGTTTTTATTAGAGACAGGGTTTCACCATGTTGGTCAGGCTGGTGTTGAACTCCTGACCTCAAGTGTTCACCCACCTCAGCCTCCCAGAGTGCTGGGATTACAGGCATGAGCCACTGCCCCCGGCCGATTCTTATTTTTAAAATTGACATTCTCCCTATGATGATTATGGGTATTCTAATTCTTAATGGTGGAAAATGTTTTATTTTCTATCCAACTTGGTTCAGATATAATTGCAAACCCTATCACCATATATATTTTTTAAAAAGTTAGGACCAGTTACCAAGCAAAACAAAATACGAATTAACCTAGCTGCCCCTTTCCTATTATTTCTTCTGTATTTCCACAGAATCAGTAACCTATGTACAATACACTATTATTGCATTGCTTAGCAATGGTTTGTTGAGCACCTGTCTCTTCTGAACTGAGAGTCCTACAATTAGGGGGTTTTATCTTACAATTCTTTATGTAACTAGGTACACGCTCAGTAACCACCTATTGACATGTTGACTGAAAGAACGGATGAATGCAATACTAGAAAGTTACACCACCAAGAAACTGAAGTAATTTCAGAATATCTCTTTTACTGTGAGAAATATAGATTGTTTGTATCTATGATTTTATTCTCAAATCCAGATTCTTACGCTAATAAACTAATTTTTTTTAGTAGCCACAAGGAGTGTGTAATTTGTTTCATGGTGTGTCCTAGCTTGGAAGTTTGATTCACATAAAAAATAAATCAAAATGACTTGACTGCTTCTACTTGAGAATGACTTGACCGGGATCAGGAAGGTACAGGGGAGAAGTTGGCAGGTGTCAATTTCTCGCGATCAAGGGATTCCAGAAGAAGTGATGCATACGATTAACTCGGGTTCCAGACAGCCCTGCCTTCTCCGTCGAACTCATACTTTTAGTTCCAGCTTTCAAAATGCTTTAGAATCAAAATGCATTTTATTGATATAAAATTCATTTAGACTTCAATACTTATAAAACAAATGAAAGCTATATTTTGGAAGGTCAAATGGGCTGCAATTACTTAAAGCAAAATAAATCAACATGGACAGAGAGTGGCTGCTTAGATGGATGTCACAATTCAATCCAGGGCTATGGATGACAGTTGCACTTTTATTTTACCCATAGCATCTCTTTTATTTCTGAACTTGATTTTAAATACAAAGCATTGGGAAATTTGGGATTCACAAACAGAAGAAACTCCAGATTTGTTTGTTTGTAGTAGCTTACTTTGTAGTAAATGGATATTATTTAATTAAGCAGGGATAGTGGGAGAAATTTTATTTCAAATCCAAAAAATGTTAGCCTGACAGCATAACTGTAATGCCTTGCTAATCATCAACGCAGCTTGAAGGTTTTTTATCTACAGTGTTTAAAGTTAAAATAGACATTTTAAAATAAAATGAAATCAAATCTTTGTGTTACCTTCAAAACCGTATTTGGTTTTGTAAAACCTGACATGAAAACCATAGTCATAGCACCATGACTCCAGAACATGGACATGTGTTCTGGTGGTACCAAACAGCAATTAACAGTGCCACGTGTATCAGAGTAACTTGCTGTTCTGTATACACAGAATCTTTGGGACTCAAAAGTAGGGTTTCTCAAACCTTTGTGTGGATAGGAATCTCTTGAAAATCTTAACGATTCTGATTCTTGCAGTCAGAATTGGAGTCTGGGATTCTGAAATCCTAACAAGGTCCCACGTGATGTACATGTGGTCGGTCAGAGAACCACGCTTGGAATAACAAGGCTCTAGAGCATCACACTTCTCTGCAGCGGGGGCTCAAAGGAGAATGCAGATGCTGAGTAGGAGGAGAAAGAGCCCAGGAAGGGAGCACAAGGAGGGAAGACAGCCTGCAGCCAGGGTTAACATGATCTATTCAGTCATTTCTCCTAAGACTACTTTTCCATAGGTCTTCCTACCATGTTTTAACCTGATTCACTCAGAGTGACACA